CAGTCGTGCAGAGCTAGAACAAAATTAAAAAAATTCAAGAAAAAGTGGTGATCCAATTTCCATACTAGAGACCAAATCGTGCCATTTTCACATTGCCAACAGATTGCTGGACATCCCAGGAACATATCCCAATCAATTGCAAGCCTTTTCACGCCTAGAATTGTAAGTTACAGGTACCACGATTTGCTTCCAAACTCAAATTCGATTTCATTGATCTACTCATTCTACGCATGTTTTGATTACATATTCGTGTTCATCATTGAGTTTGCAAACTATTGGTACCATTTAATTGCATTTCTAACGCTTATACATGATATTTCCATAGCTAGGGTTTTATGTTCTTGTTTAGGGCTTTGCAGGATATGTAAAATTGGACATTGATTATGGTACCATGAGACTCGTGAGAATGAGACGAGTTGTTTGGTACCAGCCATGGTCATTTATATTGCCTATGGACAATTTTTGAAACACAATGTTGTAGCTACAACGCCATGTCCGTAGGTAAAGGTGTCTTGGGCTAAAACGACGGATGAGAGGAAGAAGATGATGCATGGCGCCCCCTGGTTGGGCAATTTGAATTTAGCGCATTTTTTCCAGGAATCTTTGTTTTCATTATATTATAATTGATTTTTATTATATATACAAATAAGCATCATTGCTCAGTTGGCAAGCGTGCAGGGGAAAAGTGCAGAGGACATGGGTTCGATCCCCAGGTCCCAACCTTTATTTCATATTTTTCTTCAACAGATAATCCAACGCGTTGCAAACCAAGGAGCTCACCGTGTACCATCAGGATCTGGCCATCCAACTCATTAGTGCTCCAGATCCAATGCTTTTCCCCTGAACGACCATCATCTGCCCCAAGTCAACAACCACACTGGATTAGGCAAAGTCAAACAGGCCTGGATCTTTTGGGCTCTGAATCTCAACAGCACACCCCTCCTTTTGTTTCTTTTTTTTTTATTCTTTAATTTCCTTTATTTATTTAATTAACAAATTAACTATTTTTGTCACAAAAAACTATAAAATCAATAATTCATCAAAAATTAGGATTAGTTTTATTTTATCAAAATTAATTTAATTTAGTTTAAATTAGGGAAATTGTAGTTTGTTTTCAAAAATAAAATCAAATAGAATTTAGGTTAAACTTTTGACTTAATTTTATTTTGCTTTTCTTTCTCAAATGAATAAAAACACAAAAATAGATTTTAGGAAAAATTAATTTATTTTTCTTAATTTAAAATTAATTAGGATTAGGATTTTCTTTTTAATGTAATAATTTCTTTATTTTTTTTAAATAACAAAACAAAGCAAAAAACCTTTTTTTAATTAATCGCAATTAGGTTTAGGCAAAGCAAAAAACCTTTTTTTAATTAATCGCAGTTAGGTTTAGGCAAGGGTCAAAACCCTAGTTGTCTCGTATTCGATTCATCGCACGCGTGTTATTTATTTTTGCCAATATTGTTGTAATTGTTCATGGTTTATAATAGTTTAATCTAGGGCTTTTTATTTATCGCTTTATCCTGGGTTTTTGGCTATGTAATTAATACCCCTCCCCGAAGCCTTGTAATAGCGTAGATTTACTTTCTCGCATTTTAATTCCCGCAAATATTTAACTGTTTAAATGTATGCTAATAGGATTATATGACAAGAATGCATGACAAATTAATCTAGTTAGAAAACCCTAATGTGCAAAGACTAATTAATTGAAAACAGATCACTCACACATATCACTCTTAGGGTATACTCTCACTTCGGTTGCCTTCGGTAAACGATCATTAAGTATAGGGTGTCTTAGTGGTTGCCCTCCTGTCTAAAAAGATCAAATGTCCCCATTCGAATGTTGCCTCGGAAATGTAGCTTCGGAAACGTTGCCTTGGAAATGTTGTCTCGAATATGATCTTTAGACTCTAGGGTTATTACTAAGGTATCCTAACATTGCTTTAGTGATTATACGTCCCTTTCTAATTGACCCCCTACAAACTCCAACGACGGTGCTACCTATTTCTTAATAGTGGGATAGCATTGTCTAAAGGAAACGAGAATAGAAACGATCTTTTTTTCAAGTAGGTAGATGATAGTAGGTACTTGCTCAAATCAAAACTTTTCACACTTACACTTTTCAAACAAATTTTCAAAACAACTTCGTCACACCTTTGAGGACTGATACAAGGGTTATCACGGAGTCAAACTGTTTCAAAATAAAGCACATACACAAGCAATTTTTAAAATATGAGCAAGTACCTAAGAGTCCATGGAAAACCATGGATAGAAAGGGTGTTAACACCTTCCCTTTCTATAATCTACCCCCCGTACTCAGAATATCTCGAAAAAGGATTTTTTCTGTACTTTTTTCCTTTCCGGTTGGATGAAATAAAAGTCGGTGGAGACTCTTGCTTACCACGAAATTTTGCAAACGCAAAATGCAAACCAGCGTCAAATAGTCGGTTATGCCACCGTATCACACACACCTCCATATCGGAGATCAGCACCACAGATTCGGGATTTTGCACCAACCAATTCCATCAAATTGTGATTATAGATATACGTGTCAAAAAGTATAGGTGTTTGTGTTCCTCTTGCAAGGACATGGGGACTTAAAGGCCTTAGTAGGTTTATAATAGTTGTATTTAGTTAGGGCTTGCCCACAATGTTGAAAAGCCCTGTATGGTGGTCTTTTATGGCGGTTTAAGGGGTCCAACTCATGTGAGGTGAGAGGCCATGTTGATGACATAGTGCTTTTTTGCATTTCTTCTCCTTCCAACATTCAGAATCTCTAAATTCTTTGCTAGATATGCTAAAATATTTGGCCAAGTCATCAACCCCAGCAAATCTACAATTTATAAAGGCTCCATCTTTCAAGATAAAATGAATCATTTCTCAACTTTTCTTGGTTTCAACATTGACACTCTTTCTTTCTTGTATCCACGGGGTTCTTATTTTTAAAGGAAGACCTAAAAAGCTTTACTTTTAACCTGACAAAGTTAAGATAAAATTGGTTAGTTTAGAGGCAAACATGCTCTCTTTTGCTTGGAGAATTCAACTTATAAAATGTGTCCTTCACAACATGTTGGTTTATTCAATAACCATATACTCTTGGCCAAAATCTCTATTGAAGGAGATAAAAACTATGTTTAGAAACTTTGCTTGGACAAATAACTTGAACAATAAGAAACTTGTGACTATGGCTTGGAAAACAATTTGCTCTCCTATATCCTAAGAAGCAAGGTATGTAGGAACAACTCTTGCATAAACTACCATATTTTCTTACCCATTTGGAGTGGCATCAAGCTACAATTCTAAACTCTTATGTCTAACTCCAAATGGCTCTTAGTCACTGGAAGAAAAATCAACTTTAGAAACAACAATTGGAATGAATATGGAGCACTCACAAATATTTTCAACATTTCATCTCATATTGCCCAAAGACTTATGTCAAAGGCAGAATACTATATACAAAATTTGATCGAGAATATCCTCCAAAACATGACACTTCTTTTTCCCTCTATTCTTGGCCTTTTAGCCAAAACAACCATTCTCGTGGAGAGTAGAGAAAACAGGCATATTTGACAGCATTCCACTTCAGGTTAACTTTCCCTTCAAGATACTTACTCATTCATGCATACCACTCCTCAACCTAAATAATAGTCAAAATATATTTGGAGCATAGTTATCCCTCGTTCAAACTCCACTCCCGCTAGGAGAATTCTCCATGGAAAATGCCTACAGATGATAATTTGTCTTGTAGAGGCTGCAATTTAACCTCAATGTGTTCACTTTACAATAGATCCTTAGAGACTGATATGCACTTGTTTGTTTCATGTTCTCTCTTAAATAATCCTTAGAATTGGTTTTAAAACATCATCCATAACACAATTGACTTTACCTCTTTCTCCTCAATTTAGAATATTTGTAAGATAGCTTGGGCTCCTCAATGTTCTTCGGTTATAGCTGCAACAACCTTGGCTACTTTCAAAAGCATTTGACATTGCATAAACAACATAAGGTTCAACAACAAGAAAATGTTTCAAACATCAATTATCCCTGATATCATTGCTTATGTTTCTCTAACAGGTAACAACAAAAAGCTTGCAACGAGTTCTTATATCCTGAATTTTTCAATTCTCTAAACTTTTCAAGTTCAAACACATCACCCTAGAGTTCCTCAGATCAGAGGAATTTTTTGGAATCCTCTTATGGCTCCTTGGATAAAAAGTAACACAGATGAATCCTTTTTAAATGAAATCAATTATGCCTGCGCTTCTATTTACAAGAATATCATCGGTGCCTGCATTGGTTTCTTTGTTGTCAATCTTAGAGCCCAAAATCCCTCTTTGGTGAGCTCATAAACGTCATTCTTGTCATTGAAAATATCCATGAGAAATTGAAATTTCCTTTAACTAGAAATGGACTGCAAAATTATTACTCTTTTTCGAAAATCCAAAATTGGTGTCTTAACATTTGTACAACAGATGGTACAATAGTTTCTATTGACTTACACTTTCAGAGAGACTAATTATTATGTTGATATTTTGGCCAAATTAGAACTATCTCTTACTCACTTTACTAGGTTAGACTTGCCAAATTTATGATTTTATTAGTCTTTTGGCCTCTCTTGTTTAGTTGCTTAAGGGTAAGGCCTAGGGCTGTGTACCTTTTCTTCTTTTTCAATATACAATTTATATAATAGATGAAATATAAAAAAAAAAGTTAAGAACAAACAATCAATCTTTAAATAAATAAAACAAATTTATATTTTAGTAAATAAAGAAATAAAAAATACATTAATATCAATAATATTTGTCGCATATATAAATAAAAAGTTCAAGAATATCATTCACACAAAAAAAAATCTTGTTAAATATATGGAAGGGCATTTACGTAATAACATATTACGGTTCATTTAACGTCATATAAAAAAAAAACTTAATAATTGTTATAAATAAATGTTGCGACACACTGAGATAGAGTCAAAACGGCTTCAAGTGTAGAAACTGAGAATGGACGAAAACAAACCAACACCGTCCATTGAAGAAGACGTAACCACCGCTGATAGCCGGAGAGTTGGAACTCGCCACCCTATCTACCGTGGTGTCAGGAAACGGCGATGGGGAAAATGGGTATCAGAAATTCGAGAACCGAAGAAGAAATCTCGTATATGGCTTGGATCATTCCCGGTGCCGGAAATGGCCGCAAAGGCGTACGACGTTGCAGTATATTGCCTCAAAGGCCGAAAAGCGCAACTCAATTTTCCCAACGAGGTTGAAAATCTACCACTTCCTGCCACACCTACGGCCAGAGACATTCAAGCGGCGGCGGCCAAGGCGGCTAGCATGGTGAAATCTTCAGTTGATGAAAAGAGTTGCATTGTGTCTGATGGGGATAGCGGTGGCGATGATTTTTGGGGGGAGATTGAGTTGCCGGAGCTGATGGAAAGTGAGTGTTGTTGGAATTCTCCGAGTGGATCGTCGTGGAATTGCTCCGGTGACATGACAGGGTGGCCGGAGGTTGAGGTTTTGGCACAGCAACCTTTGATGTCTTGTTCTTTTAATAACTAATGCGGCTCTTAATGTGGTTGGTATGTCTCTTGCATGTCCTTGTATGTTTTCTATACTAAATAATAATTTCATGTTATGAGCAAGTTATACTATATTATCATTATTAGTACTCGTATTTATATTAATTATGCCTAAAATATATATTACTTCAAACAAAATTCATTTCATCTCAGTTTAACATTCAAGGATTGTATGAATGAGTTTTCAATATTTATTTACATTATTTTAAAAAAAAATCAATTTTCTTATCTTCTCATGTTATGTTAAAATATTGAGTAATTAGCGTTAGATTTATTAGAGAAAATTACAATTCGATCTTCTGCAATTGCAATTAGGAGAAGATTGAAATTATTTGATGCCAGCATTGATCTTGAATCGTTTTGAATAATTTTAATATGTTAAATTTTGAATTTGATCTAATTTAATTTTAAATTATCTCTTTTTTTATAGAAATCGGGTAGCTATGTACGCAATGTATAAATTGATCTCTTAAGTTGGAGAGGATTACAATTAGAGCTGACAAAACAGATCGAATCAATCTGATCAATCTTAAAAATTGTCAAAAATTTCATACCTGAACAAGAAAACTAGAGTTTGTTAAAAACTTGATATTTAATTGAGCTAACTCTATCAAATTGAAGATAGCCGTTTATTTAACTTAATTTTTTTTATAAAAATTATAATATATTATACTACTAATGCATGTATTATTTTTTAATAAAAATATAAATATCTATTTTATAATATATTATACTACTAATTATCATTTTAATAAAAATTATAATATATTATATTACTAATATTCATTTTATAATATATTATAATATTTTGTCTCCACTTAAAACTTTATTATTTTATTAAAAAAATTTATTTTAAAAAATTTTTATTTTAAATGTTATAAATATAATTGATTTATATTTCTTTTAGTGATCAATATTCATATATATCTTAATTTTTAAATTTATACTCTATTAAATTAACTTTTTATTTATATAAAAAAAATTTAATAAATAAACTAATATTAAATATTATTCGAGTTAGTCTAATAATTATAGTTTGTAAAAGGTCGAGTTTGAACAAAAAAATTATAATTCATTTAAATTTTAAACTTTTAAATCCAATCTAAAAAAAATCCGTTTTACCAACTTTAATTACAATTGATAGCAAAATTCTTTTTCAAAAGAATTTAACATTGTAATGTGTTTAAAATTAAATCTGAATGATTAAAACAGTAGAGACACGAACAATTTTATTTTTGATAATATAATTAATTTATTTATTTTGAAAATTTGGTATATAACTTTATGATCGTTTAATTTAAAGGGTCGCTCCTACCGTTGATTTATAAGGTATTTATGTAAAGGCAGAAGAAAATTTTATATAAATTTGGTGAAACACAAAAATTGTTTGCATATAACAAAATTGAAAGAATAATGCAAACTATTTAGTTGAAATAATAATTATGGAAGCTAAACCTTCTAATATTTGTATAATACTATCATGTGATGAGGGGTGTTTATGTTTTTGCATAACATAACAACGTGGGAGCAACCAAACATTTTGAGGGGAAATCATGTCAGCAACACCTATAGAGGGATTTGATAATGTTTTGCTTTGTAGTAATTTATTTACGAAAAAGTGACAAGAAATTGACCTTTTACTTGCAAATTTTAATGTTTATTTGTCTTTAACTCGGTAGAGAGGTGGTTGATATATACGTGTAATAATTAGTTAGGAGCTTTTAGAGTTTGAGAAAATGAGATTAACAGCTGGGGTGAGTAATTTCTTTTGACATTGAATTCAATCAACATCTAGAACGCGTTATACGTGAATGAGTGGGATTTTCCTCGATAACTCAGGTAATAAGATTAATGGGGAATGAAAGGGACTTTTGCTTGTCTCTAGGGGAGTGCATTGTAATTGGCAAAAGATTTAAAAACTTCCCAATTAAGACTATGATTGAGTAATAATTAAATCACTCCATTGAAAAAATAACAATCTACTTTATACTTGAAAATGACATTTATTTTAAAGGGGATATATTCAAAATATTTTCAATCCCGACTATTATATTGTAAAGGTATTTTAAGTTGTTATTTTAGAACAACTAACAATTGAATAAAAATTAATTAATTGATTTTGTTATAGTTGAATATAAACAACACTCAAATTGAAAGGAATTGAATATAAAATAATTAAATTTTTGTCAATTTCACTAAGGTTTATTTAGGTTCTCGTAGTGTCATAACTGTTGAAAATTTATCAAATATCTATGATGAATTTCTATCAATTTTGATGAACAAGATTGATATCACCACATAATGACAATGAATCATAAAAAAAGAAAAGAAAGAAGATAATTATTTTCTGCAAAGTTTCTCTCTGCCCACAAACTGTAGAAAATTTTATTAATCACTTGCAACTGTAAATTCTGTGATTATAACGAATTGACTTGATTACAAAATTAAAGTTACTCCCTCCATTTATAGATTTAGGATAGCCAAAGCCCAAAACTATAAAAGCCCAAAATACATATTTTGGCACTAAATCAAATTTATCTATTTTAGATCTAAATCAAATTTATCTAAATCTAAAACCAATCAAATTTGTGTGTAGTTTGCTTCGATCCACAAGCTCTTCGACTGGGCAACCTCCCTTTGACACACACACACACACACACACACACACACACACACACACACACACACACACACACTGTTTTGACACAATCGAATTACAATTTAATACATCACCTAATTCATTGTGTCTAAACTATCTATATTCATCATGATTCTTAGTCTTCTGAATACTTCGACCTGCACTCCCTTCGTCATGATGTCTGCAATATGATTCTCAGTTTTGCAGTGTTCTAAATTCATCATCCTATCTGCTATCTGCTCTCGAAAATAGTGGAACCTCATTTCGATGTACTTGCTCCGACCATGTGCTATCAGGTTCTTCGCCAAATTGATAGCTGACATGTTGTCGATCTTCATGGTAATTGCTCCATGATCTTTCCCTGTTATCTCTTCGACCAAGTTCACCATCCAAGTTTCTTGACATGCACAAAGAGAAGCAACTATGTATTCTATTTTGCATGATGAAAATGCCACTACTGGTTCCTTTCTTGAACTCCAAGCAACTGGTGCACCACCTAACATAAACACATATCCTGATGTTGATTTTCGATCTTCAGTATCACTACACCAACTCGAATCAGTGTATTCCACTAACTTGCATTTTTTTCCTTTATCAGTTGTAGGAAATAAAATGCCATAGTCGAGAGTTCCTTTGAGATACCTTAGTATCCTCTTCACCGCTGCTAGATGTGATACCTTTTGCTTCTGCATGAATCTACTTACCATACCTACACTATATGCTAAGTCAGGCCTTGTATAACAAAGGTATCTCAGTGACCCAATAAATCTTCTGTATTGGGTTGGGTCGACATCATTTTCATCTGCATCTTTTGACAGTTGTAGTCTTGGTTCTGCAGGTGTCGAAGTTGAGTTGTATTCTTCCATCTCAAATCTCTTGAGAATTTCTCCTGCATATCTTCTTTGATGCATCATCAAACCTCTACTGCTATTGTATTCGATGCCAAGGAAATATGAAATCTCACCCAGATCAAACATTTCAAATTCCTTGATGAGATCACCTTTGAAGTCTTTGATCTCACTTTTGCAGCTACCTGCTATCAACAAATCATAGACATAGAGATATAGTATAAGCAATTCACTATTGCTTCTTCTTACATATACTCCATGTTCAGTTGTACACTTCACAAGTTCCTTCTTCCTTAGGAAACTATCAATTTTCTTATTCCAAGCTCTTGGAGCTTGTTTCAATCCATACAAGGCTTTATGCAGCATGTACACCTTTCTCTCTTCTTCATGTTTCACAAACCCAAATGATTGTTTAACATAAGCTTCTTCGTCTAAGGGTCCATTCAGGAATGCACACTTCACGTCCATTTGACATATGTGCCATCTGTTTATTTCTGCTAGACCAACAACCAACCTGATTGTTTTGATCCTAGCAACAAGTGTAAAAACTTCATCGAAGTCTATTACTTCTTTGTATATAAATCCTTCCGCTTCAAGCCTTGCTTTGTATCGAGTTACTTCCTCTTTGGAATTCATTTTCACTTTGTATACCCACTTGACATCAATTGCCTTCTTGCCTTGAGGCAATTTGACAAGTGATCAAGTGTTGTTGTCTTTGATAGACTTCACTTCTTCGTTCATTGCTTTCACCCACTTCGAATCCTTCAATGCTTCAGTTGCATTGACGGGTTCGACATCTGCATAGAAAGCATAATGTACTAGCTCACCTTCATGATCTATCACATCATCTGGTGTAATCACACAATCTTACAATCTTGCAGCCATGCGTCTTGTTCTTTGAGGTCTGCTTGTACTTGGTTGATTTATAACTGCTGGTTCCTCTTGTCGAACTTCTCTTTCGACTTGAGTTTCTGGTTCTTCAAGTAGGATTCCCACTGAATCTTTCTTGACATTTTCAGTCCAATCTCATTCTTTAAGCTCATATATGATCATGTTCCTGCTGATCACAATATGCTTTTTCACTGGGTCGAATAACTTGTAACCTCCTGTCAAATTATATCAAACTAGAATCATTTGACTCGACTTGTCATCAAGTTTTCTTCTCAACTAATCTGACATATGTCTATGTGCAATAGATCCAAATACCTTCAGATGACTCAAGCTAGACTTCACGCCAGGCTAACATTCTTCTGGAGTAATTCCTTTTAACTTCTTCGTAGGATAATTTTGTGGTAAATTTTGTTAGCTCTAAGAGGTTGTTAGGGGGATGGGAAGTGGTGCTTAAGTGGAGCTTTCAACACTACAAGGCTAACATTAGAACGTATTGGTCAAAGTAGTATGCAGAGAGCATAAGACATTGCAGAATTTAATGATTTTATCGGGCTTATGGATCTGGTGGACCTCCCAACAGGCCCCAAAAAAATTTCTTGGAGT